ATACTTAGAACTACAGCCTATATATACACACTACTGCGAAGGAAAACCGGAAATGAGGTAATCAATTCTAAGGAACCCAGAGTTTAAATACCAGGTAAGAAAACACAACAGCGCTTTATCAGAGGCTGCACTGATGATGTTACCCAGTAGGGTAATGAAACGTCTGTGAACTAACAAACCAGCTCGGCGAGCGAACCAACCACAGCATCCACAACCCAAACTACAAATCTACTCAAGAACCTTAGAGAACAGAATTAGGCCGTTCGGCCCATTGAGTTTGCTCCACCATATGATCATGACAGATATGTTTTTCAACCCCAGGAGTGTAATAAGTAAGACTGGTGAGCTGCAGGTGCAGACAGACATGTGGAGATATGATGTTGCAGTAATAATAAAGTCCAAGCTCAAAAAAAGGGCAGCACTGAATACTAAATATTCAAGTATACAACGATTTCAAAACTAAAACATGGGCATGATGCCAGCATTGATTAAGGAGCATAATACAGTGCCAGAGGGAAAGATTTTCCAGAGGGGTCATTGACAGAATCTACTTAGTGGGATCTAAGAAGCAAGACAAGTGCCATCACACTTCCGGGTGTATTCCACAGAATCCCAAAAGGAGGCGAGGAAATTACAGAAGAAGAAATTTGCAAGAGAATTACAGAAAGGTGCAAAGACTTTGGGGTTTACCTACATTGTTGACTTTAATTATCTGAATATAGACTGGGATACAAATTGTGGAAAAGATGCGACCAGCTGGATTGTTGGGGCGGTTTCTGGAGTGTGTTCAGGATAATTTTCTACAGTAGTGCTTCTACTCCAATGAGAAAGGAGGCATTGGTGGACCTGTTTCTGAGGAAGGCGATAGCCTAGTGGCATTATCACTGGACTGTTAATCCAGAGGCCCAGATAACATTCTGGGGATCCGGGTTCGAATCCCGCCATGGCAGATGGTGGAATTTGAATTCAATACAAATATCTGGAATTATGAATCTAATGATGACCATGAATCCATTATCGACTGTCAGGAAGAACCCATCTGGTTCACTACCTGGTCTGGCCTACATGTGACTCCAGACTCACAGCAATGTGGTTGACTCTGAACTGCCCTCTGGGCAATTAGGGATGGTCAATGAATGCTGCCAAGCCAGCGCTGCCTTCATCCCATTAATGAATTAAAAAAAAGAATAAGGTGGCTCAAGTGGATGATGTGTCTGGAGGGGAACATTTAGGGGACAATGATCACAGCACCATGCTATGGAAAAGGACAATGACCAATCCAGAACATAAAATAATTCATTCTGGGAGGGCCAATGTTTAATGGGACGAGGGCAAATCTGGCCCAGGGAAACTGGAATCATAGACTGTGGGCAATAACTATTATGGAACTGAATAATGAATTGCCTTGAAACAGGAGATGGTTTGGGTTCAACCGAGATATATTTCCACAAGGAGGAAAGGTGGAAAAGATAGATCCAGAACTCTCTGGTTAACACAATAGAGAGAGAGAGAGTAAAATGGTTCAGAAAGAGGGTATTTATGACAGACGTCAGAGATAATACAACCAAGTAGGCTGAAAGTCATAAGTTCAGATGGGAAAGGGAGAAAATAATAACAGAGGCAAAAAGACAATATAAGATAAGTTTGGCAGAGAGTACAAAAGGGAATCTAAAATCTTTGATAGAAATAGAAATGATAAAACGATGGTCGGCAGAGAAGTGGGGTCCATCAGAGAACAAAAGGGGATTTATCCATGGAGGCAGAAGGCATGGTTGAAGATGAAAATTAAATTAAACTAGAAAGGTAACTCAACTAGAAACAGTGCAGAAAAGATTTACTAGGATGCTATCTGGACTGGAAGGTTTCAGTTATAAAAAGAAACTGGATAGGCTGGAACTGTTTTCCTTGGAGCGTAGGAGACTGAGGGGGTGACCTTATATAGGTTTATAAAATTTTGAGAGGCATAGATAAAGTAGATAGCCAACAGTTTTTCTCCATGGTAAGGGAGCCTAGAACTAGAGGGCATAGGTTTAAGGTGTGAGGGGAGAGATACAAAAGGGTCCAGAGGGACAATTTTTTTTCGTACGGAGGATGTTCAGTGTATGGAATGGGGTGGTGGTGGAAGCGACTATAATTTTGTCATTTAAGAAATATTTGGACAGTACACGGATAGGATAAATATGGAGGGATATGGACCAAATGCAGGGAAATGGGACCAGATTAATTGTGAAAACCGGGCAGCATAGACAAGTTGGGCTGAAGAGCCTATTTCCATGCTGTAAATCTCTATGACTCTATCGCTAAATGAGTTCTTTTACCAAGGAAGAAGTAGTGTCAAAGCCATAGTGAAGGAGGAGTTGTTGAGACACCAGATGGGATAAATGTTAATAAAGAGGAGTCATATGAATACCTGATTGTACTTAAAAGCTGGCTCAGTGAATTGTATTAAACTATAAGATTATAAGAAATAGGAACAGGATTAGGCTATTCGGCCCCTTGAACTTACTCTGCCATTCAATAGGATCATGGCTGATCCAACGTGCCTCTTATCCACTTTGCTGCTCTTTCTCCCTTAACCCTTGAAATAACGGCCAACGTTCCATAATTCTTCCCAATTACCTGCTGTTCCCGGGTGCCAGCTTTCGGTGTTTTATGCACAAGTGCCCCCAAGTCCATTAATGTTGCAGCTTTCTACAGTTTTTATGCATTTAAATAATATTCTAGTCTTTTATTGTCTATTCCAAAATGAACAACTTCACATTTTCCCGCATCATAATCTGGTCGTCAACTTTTTGCCCACTTATTTATCCTATCAATATCTCTCTGTAAACTGTTTGTATCCCTTCCGCAATCTCCCTTTCCACCTATTTTTGTGCTGTCTGCAAATTTGGCTACAGTCCATTCACTTCCTCCATCCAAATACTGCCAACAGTTGCAGACCCAGCAATGATCCCTTTGAAACCGCATGATTCACCAACCTGAAAAATAAACCCTTATCCACACTCACTGTTTCCTGTCTATGAACCAATTGTCTATCCATGCCAACACACTACTTTCATTATCATGGGCTCTTATTTTATGACTTAACCCTTTGTGATGTACCTTGTTTAACACCTTCTGTAACAAAGACAGCACAGCACAGGAACAGGCTCTTTGGCCCAACAAGCCAGTGCCAACACATGATGCCTTTCTAAACTAAAAACCTTTTGCCTCTATGTGGTCCGTATCCCTCTATCCCCATCTATTCATTTATCTGTCAAGATGCCGCTTAAATGCTGCTATTGTATCTGCTTCTCTCACCTTCTTTAACTGCAGATTCCACGCATTTATCACCTTTTGTGGCAAAAACTTGCCTCTCACATTTCCTTTAAACTTAAATTTCTCTTTATCTTAAACCTACGTCTCCTAGCAATTGACGTTTCTACCCTGGGGAAAAAGACTCCAACTATCCATTCTATCCATACTTCTCATAATTTTGATAAACTTTTATCGGGTCACCCCTCAGCTTATGACATTCAAGTGAAAACAAACCAAGTTTGTCCAATCTTTTCTCATAACTAATACCCTCCAGACCAGGCAACATCCTGGTAAGCCATTTCTGAACCCTCTCCAAAGCCTCCACATCCTTCTGGTAGTGTAGTGACTAGAACTATTCACAATATTCCAGATGTGGCCTAACTAAAATTCTACACAGTTGCAACATGACTCGCCAACATTTATACTCTATGCCCCAAGTGATGAAGGCACACATGCCATACATCTTCTTGGCCACCATCTTGACTTCTGTTACCACTTTCAGGGAACTGCAGACCTATACACCTAGATCCTTAATAATTGATTCCAATGATTTTCCAACAATAGATGTTAGGTTAATCAGACAGTAGTTAGCTGCTTTTTGCTCCACTCCCTTTTTGAATAGGGGCATTGCAGTATTTCTGCAGAATCGCAGGACTTTTGGAAACTTCCATACAATGTATCCACCATCTTTGTAGCTACCTCTTTTGGAATCATCAGGAGCAGGGGACTTCTTTGCCTTTAGCCCCATTAGTCTGTCTAATACTACTTCTTTAGTGATGGTAATGGTACTTAATCCCTCCCCCGCAGTCATTAGCATTAATGGAACGTTCAAAGAATCTTCCACTGTAAACACTGATGCAAAATATCTGTTTAATTCCTCTGTCATTTCTATATTCCCCAAAATCTCCCCAGATTCATTTTTTAAAGGGTCTATCTTCACTTTGACCTTGCTCTTCCTTTTCATATATTTAAAAAGACTCTTAAAAAGAGGTTGAGAGGTGACCTTAGGGGTATTATAAAATAATGAGTGGTATAGATAAGGTGAATAGCAGGTGCCTTTCCCCTAGGATGGGGGATTTCATGATATTTTTAAGGTGAGAAGGGAAAGATTTAAAAAAGACGAGGGGCAATTTTTTTAATATAAAGAGTGGTTCATGTTTGGAATGAACTTCCAGAGGAAGTGGTGGATGTGGGTACATTGACAAATTTTAAAAGGCATTTAGGTAAGTACATGAATTAGAAATGTTTGGAGGGATATAGGCCAAGCGCAGATAAGTAGACTGGTTTAGATTGGGATTATGTTTGGAACCTAACGGTCTGTTTCCATGCTCTGTGACTCTCTGCTCTACCACTTTCTGATGAAAATTTTCTCCTCTCAGAGAAGAAATTATTTGAGGGGTCACAACCCTGCATTTCTTTGAAATAAAACCATGGGTCTCTTATCCATTTGAGAGGACACCTCAGGTTAACATTTTATTTGAAAAATGGCACCTGTGACAGTGTAGCTCTCCTTCAGTACTGTATTGGAGTACCAGCTCAGATTTTTGCATTCAAAGTCTATTGAAGAACAATGGTATTAGCAGACAATGACTAAAGCTCTCAGAATTTGTAAAAAGTTTCTGGTTTGTTTAATTATAAAGAATGCTTAAAACCCAGACAGGTTCTTCACAGCGTTAAACTGGTATTCACCTGAGCTCACATACCTGGAGATGTTTTACAATGTTAACAACCTCCCTTGTTGAATAAGGGTAGGTTATTATTCCTTGATCAGCCATATTTCTCAACTCGCCAAAGGCAGACACAAGCTTTTGAAGAACTGACTCAGGCACATCAGGGCCATACTGCCGAAGCATGGCAAGCTCAGACCGGGGCTTGGGATTATCAACTGCATTGCAGCTAAAAATATCACCTGTTGAAAAAGAAATAAAATGTAGAACATAGAATAGTACTATACAGAATAGCCCTTTTGGCCCACCATGACGCCATTCTAAATGAATTTCATCTGCCTGTATGTGGTCCGTATCCCTCTATTCTGTCTGTTCATTTGTCTGTCCAGATGCCTCTTAAGTGTTGCTATCATATCTGCTTCTACCGCCTCCTATGACAGCACACCCCAGTACCTGTTACCCTCTGCATAAAAAAATTATCTTGTACATCTCCTTTAAATTTTTGCCCTCTCACTTTAAACCTATGCCCCCTAGTATCTGACTTAAAACAACTTAGTACATCAAATTGCTTGGAAAGAACTGGAAAATCCACTTATACAAACTACACTTTGAGAAATAATTTTACAGGTTCCTCTCCCAAAGTGAAGTCTTGCCAGTTTGATTGAAGGTATCTGAACTGGTCCTATATATTACCTAGTTTATGTTCCCAACTGCGAAAGCAGCCTCATAAAATTACTCCTAGAACGCTCATGTTATTTCATACAATCATTAATCTAAAATGTGGTTATTATTGCTTTGTAACCAGAGTGCACTAGTCTGATATACACGATGAATTTTAAAATGGAAACAGCAGCTCCACTGTATCCATTGTAGAGATGAACACCAGCTCATAACCTCAAATCACTACAATGCTAATAGCGAGAGCCACTATAATCAATAAAACTAAACATCCATGGAACAATCAGTACAAATACTGAGATGCGACATGGCCATCTACTAACTTTAGTAAAAAAGGGTTTCTTTGAAGTTTTTTTTTGCTAATAGGATGTGGGGGTCACTGGTTGGGCCAGTATGTATTGCTCATCTCTAATTGGTTGGAGAAAGTGATGGTGAGCTGCCTTATTAAACCGCTGCAGACCTTGAAGTGTGGGGATACACACAGCGCTACGGGGGGCT